ATCTTAGTGTACCTGGTTTCGGAGGAGCACCTACGAGATAAACAGCTAACTCTTGGTGTCATTGGTCTTCTTTTATGGCATTACTTCATGGTGTTGTTATACTACCAGCAGTGAGGATAGAAGAACAAGTATAAGTGAATAAATACAATAGAGAGCCCTGGACAACACCAGGGATGAGAAAAATACCTACTTATCTCCAAGGATTGCTGTGAGGATTAAACATGCATGTAATGTGCCTAGCATAATGCTTTACACATAGTAAGAAATAAATTAATGTGAACTGTTTTAATTATTCACTACTATAATGCTTTATGATCATTTGTATAAAATGTTATCCCCTTATCAGATTATTTCTAACACTCTTTATGTGTAACCATTAATCAGTGTGTCACAGTTTAGAAGAACCTTTATCCCACAAAATCTTACAGGCTTTATTATAATGTTTAAACTTAAAGGTGTTTACAAAAACAAGCCCTCTATTTCTGGAAAAATTATAAAGAAAAAGTACTTGCATTTGATTTTTACAGAATATGCAAGTACCTTCTTTGGTGTGGTTTTGCTGTTATGACCTGTGTGAGTAGCCAGGGCGTGGAAGGTGAGGTGGGAGTTTAGGAGTGCCTGGGGGTAGGCCGGGTGCGGGGAACAGTTTGGGACAGCAAAGGGAGACAAACTTGTCTGCCCGTTTGTCCTACTGTGGTGGCCTGTGTGTGGCTGTGAGGCTGGAGGCTATCCCACTGGTGTTTCAAAGGCCAGCAGGGTTACCCATGGTGGACAGGTTTCAGTAGAGCTTCCAGACTGAGACAGACTTGGAAGAAGGAAGAGGCCATCCCCTTCTCAAAGAACTAGCCAGTGAAAACCTTATGAATACAAGTGAAACACTGTCTGACATATTACTGGAAAACTATGAATAGCCTTGAAACATTGTCCTATATAGTGCCAGAAGATGAGACCCTCAGGTTGGAAGGCACTCAAAATATGACTGGGGAAGAGCTACCTCCTTAGAGTAGAGCTGACTATAATAATAAGGAGAGAATAAAGCTTTCAGGACTCCATTTTCTGATGTGGCACATCTCAAGATGAGAATAAACAGCTGCAAAATCCATTAATAATCAGAACATGGACAGTACAAAGTTTGAATCTAGGAAAATTAGAAGTTGTCAAAAATGAAATGGAATGCATAAAGATTGATATCCTAGGCATTAGTGAGCTGAAATGGACTAGTTTTGGTCATTCTGAATCAGACAGTTATCTACTGGGCCAAGGATGACAAGGTGAAGAGTAATGGCGTGGTATTCATCGTCAGAAAGAAAGTACCAAAACCTAGTCTGAAGTACAGTGTTGTCAGTGATAAGATAATATCCATATGCCTATAAGGAAGACCAGTTAATACTAATATTATTCAAATTTATGCACCAACCACCAAAGCCAAAGATGAGGAAATTGAAGATTTTTACCAACTTCTGCAGTCTGAAATTGACTGAACGTGCAATCAAGATGTGTTAATTATCCCTGGTGATTGGAATGCAAAAGTTGAAACAAAAAGAATCACCAGTGGTTGGAAAATATGGACTTGGTGATAGAAATGATGCTGGAAATCACATGAAGAATTTCGCAAGACCAATGACTTACTCATTGCAAACACCTTTTTTCAACAGCACAAGTGGCGCTATACACTAGAATCATATTGACTACTTTTGTGATTTGTGGCAAGAGGCGATGGAGGAGCTCAATACCTTTGGCCAAAACAAGGCCAGGAGCTGATTGTGGAACAGACCATCAACTGGTCATATGCAAGTTCAAGTTGAAGCTGAAGACAATTAAAACAAGTCCACGAGAGCCAAAATATGACCTTGAATATATCCCTCCTGAATTTAGAGACCATCTAAAGGACATTGATGCATTGAACACCAATGACCGAAAACTGAAGGAATTTTGGGATGACATCAAGAACATCATCCATGAAGAAAGCAGTCATTAAAAAGTCAGAAAAGGAAGAAAAGGCCAAAATGGATGTCAGAAGAGACTCTGAAACTCGCCCTTGAGTGGAAAGTAGTTAAAACAAAAGGAAGAAATGACAAGATGAAAGATGTGAACAGAGTATTTCAAAAAGCAGCTTGAGAAGACAAAGTCAGTTATTATAATGAAATATGCAAAGACCTGGAGTTAGAAAACCAAAAGAGAAGAACATACTCAGCATTTCTCAAGCTGAAAGAACCAGGGACAAAATTTAAGCCTAGAGTTGCAATATTGAAGGATTCTCTGGGCAGGAACCATCAAAAGAAGATGGAAGAAGATGGAAGAGTCACTATACCGAGAAGAATTGGTCAGTGTTCATCCATTTCAGGTGACAACATATGATCAAGAACCAATGGTATCAAAGGAAGAAGTTGAAGTTGCACTGAATTGGAGAAGAACAGGGCTCCAGGAATTGACAGAATACCCATTGAGAAGTTTCAACAAATGGATGCCCTGCTGGAGGCACTCACTCAACTATGGCAAGAGATTTGGAAGACAACTACCTGGCCAACTGACTGGAAGAGAACCATGTTTGTACCCATTCCAAAGAAAGATGATCCCATAGAATGTGGATATTATCAAACAATACCATTAATAGCACATGCAAGTAAGATCTTACTGACGATCATTCAGAAGAAGTTGCAGCAGTATATTGACAGAGAACTTCCAGAGGTGCAAGCTGGATTCAGAAGAGGACGTGGAACAAGGGATGTCATAGCTGATGTCAGATAGATCTTGGCTCAAAGCAAAGAATACCAGAAAGATACTTACTTGTGTTTTATTGAGTATGCAAAGGCTTTTGATTTTGTGGATCATAACAAATCATGGGTAACACTGAGAAAAATGGAAATTCCAGAACACTTAATTGTACTCATGAGGAAACTGTACATAGACTGAGAGGCTGTCATTCGAACAGAGCAAGGGGATACTACATGGTTTAAAATCAGGAAGGGAGTGCAACAGGGTTGTATCCTTTCACCATACTTATTCAATCTGTGTGCTGAACAGATAATCCTAGAAGCTGGACTGTATAAAGAAGAATGTGCCATCAGGATTGGAGAAAGACTCATTAACAACCTGCGATACGCTGATGACACAACTTTGCTTGCTGAAAGTGAGGATGACTTAAAGCAGTTACTGATGAAGATTGAAGACTACAGTCTTCAGTATGGATCACATCTCAATACAAAGAAAACAGAAATCTTCACAACTGGTCCAATAAGCAGCATCATGATAATGGAGAAAAGATTGAAGTTGTCAAAGACTTCATATTACCTGGTCAACACCAGTGCAAGCAGCACTCCAGATGGATCAAAGACTTAAATGTGAAACCTAGAACTATACAGTTTCTCAAGGAAAATTTAGGCTCAAACTTAAGGGCCCTAATAT